GGGGGGGGTTAGACCTAAGTACCACATCTGAAAGGTTTAGCATGTGCCTAGGATGCCTAGCATCAGGCTCCAGAAGTGTTCTTTACTCTAACAGTCGCAACTTCCCTGAGACACAGGTCATACTGACGTTTACTGACGAGAAAACTCAGGCTTAGAGAAGTTAACTCACTCTCCAAGGTTACAAAGCCAATGAGAAGCAGACAGAGGACTCAAACCCAGCAGACTCTTACTGTCCCCACCACAGGCGGTGGCCATGTATCACAAGGGACCAGAGCTCTGCCCCCATGCAACTCTATGAACTACTCATGGGAAGACAGTGGGTAGAGCCAGGTGATGGTGGCGCACACCTTTAATCCCAGCACTGGGGAGGCGGAGTCAGGTGGATCTCTGTGAGTTCGAGGCCAGCCTGGTCTACAGAGTGAGTTCTAACAGTCGCAACTTCCCTGAGACACAGGTCATACTGAAACTTTGACTCAAAAAACCAAAACAAAACCCAGTGGGTAGGAAAGCACCGTGCAAGTGTTGGGGAATTTTTTTTTTTTGGTCTAGCCTAAAGCTCTAGGAATGTGTCACAACTGGAATTTTGGGGGGTAACTACCTGAGGTCACATGCCAGGAACTCTTCCCTGCCCACTTCCCTTTCTTCCACAAGTGAGTCGTACATCCCAAGGGCCTCAGCATCAGAGACTCTCAATGCAGAAGGATCAGGGAGGCACGAAAGGGGCTGAGAATGGACTTACAAGCCATGGACGCCCAGCAGCAGATCATAGTTGTCAAATATGGTGGCCGGGGGACCCAGCAAGAGCAGCACCAGATAGACGAAGCCCAGGACAAAGGTCATAGCCAGCTTGCCGATGCTGCTGATGTGCAGGAAGACAGAGCTGGCCAAGAGACTCAGCAGCATGTTCCCGACGAAGTACTGAGGGAGGGGTGACAGCAGAGGCAGCGTTGGGTGACATCAAAGACCACTGTACCCAGAGCAGGAAGAGCTCTGCATCCCCCTGCCTGGCTAACTCCCTCCTACCACTCTCCAGCCCTAAAGCCTTTTACCAGTCTTGCTCAGCCTCCTAGGAGGGGCCCTGGCTGCTCCTAGAGTTGGGGAATGCTTGAGTTCCTGGCTCTAAGATGCCATCACTAGGCCTGGCACGGAGAGGCCGATAACTGTGCCAAAACAACCCCCACTGTCTGAACACTGCTCGGACACCTCAGGGAAGCTGCAGGTGGGTGCGGTGCCCTCACACAGGGGAGCATCCAGTCCCAGAGAGTAATTGAGCTGTTGTAGGTGGCAGGCGGTGACATCAGCTGGTGTTAAGTTCAGCATCCGGGCTGCACAGGTCCTTATGGGGGTGTGATTACAGGTGAACTGCAAAAGTTGGGTGTATATTAGGGTAGCCAATGAGGGAAGTGGTTACAAGGGCCATACCCAGGGGCCTTATATGCCATAGACTAAAATTCTCAGGGATGACAAAAGGAAGGAGAAACAAAGACAAGTGTGACCCCACCCACCAGGACAGCAGGCTCCCCAAAGGCCGGACACACTCTCAGTTCTCAGAGAGTGCCTGGCTTGGGGTAGAGAAAGGAGAATTACCATGTTGGCAACAGCGGAGATGAACACAAGCAGAACTGAAAAGATGCCAACCGCTGTGCTGTGCACCCGTGAGCGGACGATACTACGGGACAGACGGTGCAGGGCCTTGGGGAAGAGCTGTGACAGCAAGAGACCAAGAGTTAGAAGTGACATTTGCTAGAAGGAAGAGCGACCAAGAACAGGGTCTAACAAGGGGCATGGCCTCCTCCTCCCTTTTCCATGGGAACCCCCTCCTTCCCCATCAGTCTCAGGGAAGTTCCCCTACTTACAGAACCGCAGGAGCATACAGCACAGATCAGTACGGTGGCCAGCAACAACAGGAAGATACCAGCATAGATCCCCATTATCAGGGTGGAGCTGGAGCAGGATAAGGGGGAAGCGAGGGAAATCTGAGCAGACTTGTCTCATCCCCATGGCTTGCACAGGCATTTAGGGAAAGTTTGGGATGTAGTGAAAGGGACAGGACTCACTGTGGAAATATGAGGAGCTGGATGAAACAGATGAAGCAAAAAACCAAAAGGGCGCAGGCAACATAGGCTCCAAAGCGAGGATCTACCTTCCGTGAATACTGTGGGAAGAAAGGTAATGATCTGGGTGCTGGGTCCTCCCCTGGCACGGATGGCATAGACAGCAAGAGCAGGGCAATCCCGGGGCCTTGCGGGGGAACAGTCGCAGTTGGCCTGATTTAGATGAGCTCCCACCTATGTAGTGGTCGCTTCCCATTCCCAACAAGTCCTCCTGCTCCTTCAGCTTGTGTTTAGCCTCCCAGCCAGGCCCTCCCTCCCTCCAGCCCTCATTCTTTTGCCCTTGTATCCCCCAAACCTTCTTTTCAAGATCCTGTCTCTGGAAGGTGAGCAGGAACCGGCGCACATGGTCCTTACGCAGTTGGTCGATGCTACGGGCATCAATGGCACGGCCCAGGAACTCATCCACCTCATCTTCAGGGTTCAGAGCATCTTGGGCGCCACGGCTGATAATAGGACCCAGGTTTCACCATGTGCATGAATAATGACATGATAAACGATGAGAAGGGCGGGGCTCGAGCAGCAGCCAAAGAAGGCTACCTGAGCTATGTATGTGGTACCCGCTCCTCCTTTATATAACAAGAAACGGGAGGTCTCAGCTCCCACAGCCCATCCCAGGCTGCATATGATTTCTCCCTCCCTCACTGACCCGCCCCATCCCATGGACCAACATACTTGTCTTTGCTGGAATCATCAATGCCCTGGAGAAAGAAACAATGCGTGAAGGAGAAGAGCTAACCATGGACACCTCCAGTACCTTCCCTGTTCCTATTCTAGGCCAGGGTGTCCCCTCCACACACACACACACACACACACACACACACACACACACACACACACACACACACTTTGGGAGACTTGGGGTGAAACTATTCCCCCTGCTTCCAACTTTAGGACACATACATGGACATGGCAGCTATAGGAAGAAGGGGGACAGAACACTCCCTCACTTTGAGGGAAACCAAAAATTGAGACACCGCCCCCCCCCCCCCCCCCCCCCCCCCCCCCCCC